CCAGTCTCTTCTATAAACATAACCAAAGTAGGTGAGACAAGTTTCACTATCCTTGCCTCCAAGAAGCATCCATGTGGTATCTTTTCTGAGACATACTTGTCATTTTGGCAGTCCATGCGATATTCAGCACTCTTCTCCAACATCACAATTCAAAGGAATTGATTCTTCTTCTGCTGTCCTTATTCATGATCCAACTTTCAGATGCACAGCTAATAAATTAAAAGATCATGGTTTGGATTAGGTGCACCTTAGTCTTCAAATAGACATAACTGCTCTTCAGTATTTTGGAGAGGTCCTTGATAGTAGACTTTACTAATGCAACATGTCTTTTGAGTTACTGGATGCTTATGCCAAGGTATTGACTGTGGATCCAAACAAGATTAATCATTGATAATTTCTATTTGTTCTCAATCATTACATTGCCTATTGACCTGGTGCTGGGAATTTGTTTTCTTGATGTTATTTGTTGTACCATTGAGTTGTAACTGACTCATAGCTAACCCACCAGTGGGTTTTCAGAGGCAGTATCACAAGGACAAGACTGCCCATCTTTGTTCCAAGAAGCAACTGGCAATTTGAGATTCTAACTGGATGCTTTTGGGTTGGCAGCACAGCTCCTTACCACTAGTCACTAGAGTTCCCTTTCTTGACATTGAGATCTAACTCATATTGAAGGCTCATTTTGATCCTCTGAAGAAAGTATTCCAAGTCCTCCTTTATGCTTATTTTCAGCAACAAGGTTATGTCATCTACATAACACAGGTTGTTGATGAGCCTAACTTTGATATTAACATCCCATTCTTCATATAATCCAGCTTCTTGAATGACTTGTTATACATACAGATTGAATAGGAATGGAGAAAGGATACAGCCCTCATGCACACCTTTCTCAATTTAAAACCATACAGTGTTCCCTTGCTGTTTTAACAAATTCTTGTTCTAAGTAAATTTTTGTATGAGCAGAATTAAGTGTTCTAGGATTCCCATTCTTCTCATTGTCAGCCATAATTTTTGCCATGAGGGATAGATATCACTGTTGATGTCATCTGGACCTTGACTGGAAGTAAAAAAATACCAGGAGCATGTCTAGACGTGTTTTATTGACTATGTGAAGGCATTTGACTGTGGATCATAAGAAATTATGGCTGACATTGAGTCAGCTTCATGTTGTTATGTGCAATTGAATCAAATATGATTCATAGTGACCCTTTGAACAACAGAACCCTGTCTTATCCTATGCAGTCCTCATCATCTCTAACACACTTGAGGCCACTGCTGCAGTCACTATGTCAATACATCTCATTGAGGGCCCCCCTCTCTTTTGCTGATACTACATCTTTCCAAGCATAATGTCCTTCTTTAAGGAACAGCCAGACTCTTCTAACAACATGCCAGAATATATGAGACAAAGCTTTGTCATCCTTGCCTCCAAGGAATGAGCACTTTTGGTACCAGAAGCCAGGAAATTAAAAAACAAATTGCATTGGGAAAATCTGCTGTCAGAGACCTCTCCAAAGTACTGAAGAGCAACGATGTCAGTCTGGAGACTAAGGTAAGCCTAATCCAGGCCATGTCTTTGCAATTACTTGCTATGCATCAGAAAGCTGGACAATGACTAGAAATGATAGGAGAATTGATGCCTTTAAACTGTGGTTTTGGAGAAGAGTACTGACTATACCATGGATTGCTAGAAGAACAAACAGGTTCATCCTAGAGAGGGTGACACCAGGCTGCTCTTTGGAGGCAAGGATTCTGAAGCTTCATCTGACATACTTTGGACATGTTTCAAAGTCAGACCAGTCTTTGGAGAAGGATGTCATCCTTGGGATGGTAGAGGGACAATGCTGGAGAGGAAGACCCTTGATGAGCTAGATTGATTCAGTGGGTGGGGTAATGGAGATAGGTGTGTCAAGAGACAATAAAATTGGCATAGGATAGAGCAGGATTTAGAGCTGTTGTACACAGGATTGCTATGAGTTGCAGGCAACTCAACAGCACATAACAACAACCACCACCTCTCCAACATATAGTCTTTTGGCAATCCATGGGTCATTAAGTACTCTTCTCCAACACCACTGTTGAAATACATCAATTCATCTATCATCCTTATTCATTATCCAGCTTCCAGCAGCAAAGCAAGTGATTGAAAAGATTGTGTCCTGAACTAAGCACACCTTAGTTTTCAAACTAACATCATTGCTTTTCAGTAATTTGGAGAGGTCCCTGACAATAGACTTGCCTAATGCAATACATTTCCTGATCTCTGGCACCAAGGATATTGACTGTAGATCTAAGTAAGAGGAAATGGTTGACAACATCAATATCATGATGTTGCTTATTGGTCCAGTGATCAGGATTTTTATTTTCTTGATGTTGAGATGTAGTTCATATTGAAGGCTGAAGTCTGATTTTTTGCACAAGAATTTGAAGTCCTCCTCACTTTCAGTAAGCAAGGTCATAATGATCTCCATAATGTGAGTTGTTAATGAATCTTCCTCCAATATTGATGTTACATTCTTCTTCATAGAATTCAGTTTCTCAAAATATTTGCTCAACATACAAATTTAATAGGTATGAAGAAAGGACCTGATATGCACCTTTAAATCAGGCAGTGTTCCAACAACTGCTTATTGGTCTAGGTCTAAGTTTTGGATCAGCACAATTAAGTGTTCTTGGATTCCCATTCTTCTTAATGTGAGCCATAGTTTGTTATGATCCACACAGTCAAATGCTTTTGCATAGCAAAGCGCCATCAAATCAACTCCAAGTCATATGTGAAATAGAAGGAAAGACTATCCAATCCTTTGCCACACTTACAATTTCTACTTAAGCAATTGTGCAGCTAGTGTATCAATCCATTTTGTTGAGCATCTATCTCTTTTTTGCCATGTATGATATCTTTATGCAGAGACTGATCTCTCCTAATATCTTTCCCACCATATATGAGAAGAAGTCTTAGCAACCTGGCCTACAGGAGGATTCTGGTATACTTCTTCCAAGATTTTTTTTTCTTTTGGAAATCTATGGTTCAGCTAGTACTGTTCATGAATACCACAGCTCAAAGGCATAAATTCTTTGGTGTGTTTTTTTCTATTCACTGCCCAACTTTTACATGCCTATGAAAATACCCAGGCTTGAGTCAGAAATCTCTTCATTCTTAAAGTACCATCCTTGTTTTTTAAGAAAATAAAAAAAAAAGAAAATACAGAGTTTTTAACAAACACTGCAGTAGAACAGATGAGGGAAAGAACTGTCTGAAAGGAATATATGATTAGGCATTATATTTAGGATAATAATCTCTAACAAGGGATGCATCATAAGGTGAGTTTGGGGCAGGGGGAAGAAAATGAGTGACGAGTAAAAAAAAATAAATAAAAAAAATATATGAAATATACATAGTTTTATAGCTTGTTTCTCACTTTGCAAGACTGTTCTGTGGGCATGTTATTATTAATTTTGCCTGTTTGCCTTACTGCTTCTTTAAATTCAACTTACCAAACCCACTAGCACCAAGTTGATTTAGACTCATGGCAATCTTCTGTCCTGTCTCTGACACTGTAAATCTTAACAGGTGCAGCTGTTTTCAAACTGGCCATCCTTTGGCTAGTAACCAAACACCTAACCTATCACACACCATCAGAGATCTTCCTCAAAACTTACTGCCACTGAGTTAAAGCTAACTTACATATCTGACCCTACAGCACTATTGTGGAGGCTGTAAAGTGCACGGGAGTAAACTGCTCCCCTTTTTCTCTTGAAGCAGGTGGTGGATTTTAACCCAGCTGCCTTTGGCAGCACATTTCTTTACTGATTAGGCCGTCAAAGCTTTCTTCAGGGTTCCTTTATTGTTGTGGGGTGTATTTCCAACTCATAGCGACCCTGTAGGACTGAGAAGAATTGCCTCATTGGGCTTTTGGGGCTGTAATCTTTACAGAAAGAGATTGTGGGTTTTTCTCTTGTGGAGTTGGCTGATGAGTTCAAACAGCAAACTCTCAGTAGCTCAATTACCAAGCATTCCTTAGAAAGATTTAAAAATCAAACCAAACCCACGACCTAGAGTGCTTTCTGTCAGTGATGCTGCTCATAAGTTTTAGAAGCTGTACATCTTTTCCTTAGGCGATCGACTCATCCTTCTTCCTGGCTGGTAGATTCAGACCTTTGACCTTTTGGTTAGTAGGCCAAGGTGTTACACACTACATTACCATAGTTCACGTGTATATTCATTCTGAGTGTTTCCTCACAGGTCAGGAGTGATAAAGAGCTGAATTAAATAAATGTTAATGGATTCTTCATTTTCATGTATCTTGTAGACCTGATTTTTCTTACTGTAGTCCCTGCTCTTCTCTCTTGTGCACTTCATTATCTTAAACTGACCAGCTCAGATTAGATAATTTTGGACAGAAGAGCTTTCTTGGGTCTCTTATTTCGCAGGAAGTCGTTCACATTTGAGCTGTCTGAAGAGGTGAACTCAAAGCAGTAACTTTTGAATTTACAAATGCATCGTCGGGAAGGAAAAGTTTTTCTTGCAATCTGATGTTTCTCACCACTCACGCACAGAATTTCTTACTAATTTGGACAGATTTGGAGATAAGAGAATTGGTGCGACTCCTGCTAAACAATTATAAGCTGCTGCATGACGTTTCAGTGAAGACATGGTAAGATGAGTTAGGACATTTAAGTGAAGGTGTAATAACGAAGGCCTGTGGAATATTTGCATCTCTGGAGCACTCGGTAAACAGTAGATTTTCTCTCCCGAGGCCCTGGCACCTAGTCTGGTGCGAGGTCTGTCCGAGGAAGGTTTTGTTGAGTACTGAGAGCCGCATTCGAGAACGGTGACAGGCCGGCGTCGCACGCTCCTGTCCCCGGTGTCAGGCAGCCGTCAAGTGGAGCAGCCCGAGGCACGACGTGGGCGGGGCCTGCCGGAGGGGGCGGGGCCTACAGTGACGTCGCGGCGGACGTAACCGTCTACCGGGCTGTCGCCGCCGCCACCGCCGCCGAACCGGGGGCCTGGGGGTCGGGGGAACCCTAAGATGGCCGCTTCAGCACGGGCTGGTGAGTGTGCGTGAGCACCGCGCGCAGTCGCGGCGGTTGGCGGAACGAAGCTCCCTTCGGGAGCGGAGGTCCGACGGGAGCCCCCCCTGGTGGGAAGGCACCTGGCGGCGTTTTCCCGCCTCACTGGGGGGCCCTGAGAGAGCAGCGAGGAAGCTACGGAGTGCGGGGAGCGAGCCCGGGTGCACGCGGAGGAGGCGGCGGCGGGACGGGAGGATTTAGAATTGGCCCCCTGGGAAATTTCGGTGGGTCTTGCGTTGCCCGGGTCGGTGCCTGGGGATGCTGAGGGGCGATGCATCTTTGGGACTAGGGCCGGAGAGGACGAGTTGGAGGAAAAGGGGTGGAACTGGGGTACCCCATGGGATGCAGAGAATTCCTGCCCTGCTCCCCGGCCCGGAGCGCTGAGAAACGTGACGGGAGCTCCGACCGACGAACTGGGTGGCACTTTTAGGGGAGCAAACCTGCATTCTGGCCCCGTGGTCCCGACAGTGATGCTCCCAGCGCTGCGATGCTTCCGAAGGGCGGTCTGGTCCTTCGGAAAAGCGTGAGCGGCGCCGAGCGCAGTTCCCTCCATTGACTGCCTCCTGGCGCCGCGAGCACCTGCTGCCACTTGAAGACGCTTCGCATGTTTAAATGCCCACTTCCTAAACGTTTTCTCGCTGCTCTTCGAATGCTAAGAAATTCAACCCATTTTAAGTTCTAAGTGGCCTGGGAGGGGGAGGGGTGGACATTCTGACTCAAGAGGGTAGTGTTTTTTTTTAAAAAAAAGCGAAACACGGTAACTGTTTCAGTTGTAAGTTTGTGCAATTGTAAAATACTGGTCACTGAATAGTTGCTTACAGTTTAGTGAGTGAAGAGCAGATTATCGGCTTGTTTTCTAAGTTCTTTTCACCTTTTTAAAAATACATCTCCACCCCCACCCCCAGCTCGGTCCTATAGATGTTGTTTTCTAACATCCTCCCCCCTCCTTCGCCCCTTCCCCCACCCCATGCAGTTACGCATGTCCTGCTCCAGGTTGTTATTCGGAATACTGACCAATCTCTAAAGCATTGCCCTATTTTGCAAGGAACCGCGTTGTGAAATTAGCATGGAAATACACCCTGCAGCCCCTGCCTGGCATTTGTTACTTTCGGTTAAGTAGTTGCTTGGGGGTAAAAAAAGTAGGCGTGGTAACACTTCGGGCCTGGAATTCCTTTTTAAGTTTGCTTCAAAACCAACATTTGATATAAACAAGCAAAAAAAGACTTGGCTCTTCACTGTGGTCAAATTGAAAAAAAACCTAAACATGAGTTAAGCACATGTTTATAGAATATTTCATAATCTTAGAGTTAGTATTCAGTAATTGAAGGAATTGAAAACTTTGTATTCCTGTAACTCTTTAATATTTTTAGGCTAAATTTAGCATCTGGTGGTATTTGAACGATTTTAAACATACAAGCACACTCAGTTCCCTTTCCATTCTGAGTTCATTTGTATACTCCCTAATTATGCTAGAATTATGTTTGAATTTTTTAATCTAGTATTTATCATTGGAAATTAACGATATTTAAATTTACAGTTATCCTAGTATTAAAAATAACAGTTCAACCCATATAGTTTAGAAAACTGACAAGATTTGGGTGTTGTGTAGACTTTATTTTCAAATTATTTTGAGATTTTTTTCAAAACATCAAAAAGTTTAAGTTATATCTAACTTAAAATTCTGTATTATATACAGTAATATGACTGGGAATACTGAAAATAGAAATATTAAAGATTTGGGTTTCATAATTGATAACCTTGTGATAATGTACTGATTGTCTTTTCCCTTTTTGAGTGCATATTTTCCTTATTTTATTACAAAAAAGAATGAGATCTTATATATAACCTTTCCTAAATATCCTTCTGTACATTTGATTCTAAGTATTATAAGAATTTTTGTTTTCTTGTCATTTGATTTGAGAGTGGAGCCTGACAGTAGGTTGTGTATCCCCAGAACCTTGCTAACTACCTAATTTGGGATTAGGAGGGAAAATTCGGTGACTGTTTGAGTTGGGTTTTTAAATGGTATGGTTCAAGAAATAAGCTATTTGGGTTTCTTGGTAAGAAAAAGTGCTTCTGAGTTAACCTGTATTATAAAGTGGAACAGATAAGGTTCCTGGATTCTAATGGAGTTATCTGTACTAGGAAGATTATAGAGAGAGGCTGGGGCATAACCTCATACTCTAATCAAGTTAGTAAATAAGTTGTGTGTCCAAGTCATTTGCTGGGCTCAGTAATAGGATATTTCTGTCTTTGGATAAAGTCTATGTAAATGGCACATAAGCAAAATATACTAATACTGACTTTCTTGCAAAGATTATAAATATTGTTAAAAGTGGAGTTGATACAGCACTTGTAGATACTATAAAAACTTTATCATTTCAGAATTCCTTTTTAATACATTTTACCTGTCATAAGAAATAGCTATATACTTGTTAGACTAAGTCACAAACATATTACACTGATAGAGTGTAGAGTCTAGAATTTTATACAAAAGTTATTTAAGTCTCTATTTTTAAAACTCATGATAGATCCTGTACTGTTTCCTAAATGTTTCATCACTGTTAACAAAGTTTCCTGGTGTGGGCTGATGTATAGGTATGGTGATATGCCACTAATGATGACTATTTTGCAGCAAAATCACCCATGAATGAATTACTTGTAAGGAGGTACGAGTGAGGAATTCAAATAACCTGGAGATAGCGCTTAATTTCCTGTTGTAATTATTTTATAACATAATCAACTCGAGTTAATCTCTGGACTTCTCAGAACGGTGTTAAAAATGTAAAGAGAGCTTAAAAAACTATATCCCTAGAGTCAAAGTTTACATAGCTGGCTGATAACTGCAAGATTGGCAATACCAGCCTCTCTGCGGGAGGAAGATGGCCAGTCTCAGTACAATTTTTAGGTTAGAAAACTGCTGGAAGCTAGTTCTGAGTCAGAATCAACTCAGTGGCATTGAATTTGATTTGAGGTTTTTTTGGGATGGGGAGGTTTGGGGTGTTCATGCTTTACTCTCAAGTTATTATAGTTGCTCCCTGAAATAAATTGAAAATTGTTCTGACGAAGTAAGAATTATGTCAATTACTACAAAGGCTGAATTTTCATTCTTATCTAAATGAATTTAACAACCGTGGTAGTCTTACTAAAGCTGCCATTTCCTGCTGCCTTTTACTATGGAAAATAACATTCTTGTTTTTAATAGCCTTTAGAGAATCTTCTGTAGCTTACTAAGAGAAAGTCTGTTCTAAAAATTATCTTTGTCAAAATAAGATTCAATGTGTGCCTGTTTTACATATCCATCTCAGGAGGCTTTTTTAAAATTAGGTAAAGATGATTAATATGACATAATTACGCCAAAAAATTTACTGTTCTTGTTCCTCAGTGATGCAGCTTTTTTAAAAAAAAATAAAAATCTAAAGTAGAATGAATTTAGTTATTTCTTTAAAATGTCTCATATCCCAGCTAGGAAAGTCAGTAAGACTAACCTTAATTAAAAATATGCTTATCTGTGAATTTTTCTAGAAAACATTTTTTCTAAAAGTTATGTGAAAAGTGTGGGCATAGATACGTGTAGAAAAGATTATTGTGCCCATATTTTGAGGCCTCTTTATGCCATGTTAAGAAGTTTAGATTATTCTCTTGTCATTTCCTGACTTTTAAATAGTCCTTTGATAAACTATTCCGATATTAAGAATTATATAAAAAGTACTGTACTGAGATTATTTGGCTCACGTCTGAGCTAGAAAAGGGGAAAATTGTTTACTGGAGCATAGTAGGTTAATCTTTATTCAAGTTTTAAAATATTGTTGTGTGCTTTTAAGTGGGTTTTCAGAGACAGTTAATCACATGAGGATTGCCCATCTTCCTCCCCAGGGGCAGCAGGTGGGTTTGAATTGAGTGCCTTTGGCACTAGGCCACCAGAGCTCCCTATTAAAATACAGATTTTTTTACTTTTAGAAATGTTGATTTCTTAAAAATCTAAGAATGAGCTCCCTCATTCTGGATCACTTTAATTATTAAATAGTAATTTAGCTACTTTTGTGTGCTCTAATGGGGTAGTCCATAGTGGTTGTACTTCATACTGAAAGGCTTCACAAGTGTATTGGTTCAAATCCACCAGTGGTTCCTCAGGAGAAAGATGAGCAGTCTCCACTCAGAAAGATTTACAGCCTCACTGAATCGGAACAAACTTGATGATAGTGAGTTTGACACACATACTTCGTATTTGCACCTTAGATATTTACACTTTGTTCTTGTTTATGGTTCAGTTGGAACCTCAAAAGCTGACCCTTGAGAGTTTTCAGAGGTAGTGAATCACATTGGACGACTGCCAGTCTTGCTCCTTTAGAGCAGCTTGTGGATTTTAACCACATGCCTTTGCGTTGGCAAGAAACTCCTTATCAGAGCTCTCTCTTTTTTTATTTAATAAAAGTTTACAGAGACTTTGGATTTCCATTCAGAGCTCTCTTCTTTAGGTGGTTCAAAAAATGCTTGACAGTACAGACCCTGCCTAACCGTGGGAGCCAATGCAACATTTAGGTGGCAGTTAGGGCATGTGCAAAAATAAGGTTTCTGCATTTGGGAAGTGATATAACTGTCAAAACTGAAGTCTCTTAAGTAGTTAGACATTATTTTTAACTAGGAGGAGTTAGTCCTTAGAGGATAAATAAGATTTTAAAAGGTGAGAGTGAGGGACGATAAGCTATCTTAATAAGATAAGAGTTATTCTTTCTGCTTGGAAGGCATGTGACAGGTAGTAAGATATAACAGAAGACTTGGCATCTGATTATGTAGTATATTATTGTTATTGTTGTTGGATTTTTTTCCAAGCTGTTGGCTTAAAATCCGAGTAGGGTGGCAACATTTTAAAGAAAAAATGAAATAAAATAGGAAAGAAATTAATTATTTGTGAGACTTTTATTCTAGGTTGATGGTGTATATGTATGTGAATGCAAATGTTAGCAGGTTCAAGTTATAAA